AGACTGGAGTTTTCTGAAGATTATACTTGGAATGTTCTTATACAGTGAAGCTTTGAGAGTGTCAAGAAGATAATGTTTCTTTTTTTTTTTTTTTTAAAGATTTTATTTATTTATTCATGAGAGACAAAGGCGGAGGGAGAAGCAGGCTCCCCGCGGAGCAGGGAGCCCGATGCGGGACTCGATCCCAGGACCCTGGGATCATGACCTGAGCCGAAGGCAGACGCTTACCGACTGAGCCACCCAGGCGTCCCTGTTTTTTTTTTTTTTTTAAAGCATCTTCGAGGGTATACTTTGAGATTCATTATCTACTAATTTTAGCATCCTTGGTGATTCTAGCCAGAATCAGTTATTACAATGACTATTGACAAATGGTGATTTTCTAATCATCATTCCTTCTACATTTATTAATTGGCTTTCTGCAGTCAGGAAAAGCTATCCCTTCCCCCATTTCTGTTTGTTTGAGTGTAGATTCATGGCTTATTTTATTCAATAAGCTTGAATCCTTACTATCACTACTTATTTCGATGCCCAAATTGCTCCAGATTTGGCTAGTGGGAGTTTCTTCATTTATTTATTTATTTTTTTTATTCTTATGTTAATCCCCATACATTACATCATTAGTTCTAGATGAAGTGTTCCATGATTCATTGTTCGTGCACAACACCCAGTGCTCCATGCAGAACGTGCCCTCCTCAGTACCCACCACCAGGCCAACCTATCCTCCCACCCCCCTCCCCTCTAGAACCCTCAGTTTGTTTTTCAGAGTCCATCGTCTCTCATGGTTCGTCCACCCCTCCGATTTCCCCTGCTTCATTCCTCCCCTCCCGCTACCTTCTTCTTCTTTTTTTTTTTTTTTAACATATCTTGCATTATTTGTCTCAGAGGTACAGATCTGAGATTCAACAGTCCTGCACAATTCACAGCGCTTACCAGAGCACATACCCTCCCCAGTGTCTATCACCCAGTCACCCCATCCCTCCCACCCCACCCCCCACTCCAACAACACTCAGTTTGTTTCCTGCGATTAAGAATTCCTCATATCAATGAGATCATATGATACATGTCTTTCTCTGTTTGACTTATTTCACTCAACATAATACCCTCCAGTTCCATCCACGTCGTTGCAAATGGCAAGATCTCATTCCTTTTGATGGCTGCATAATATTCCATTGTATATATATAAGTGGGAGTTTCTTCAAACTGACTTTTGTATCCTTTTGGCATGTTACCTATCATTCTTTGAGGACTTCCTTTCTTATTAGCATAATTAGATGATGTTCAAGGCTCATCTTGTTCTTTCTCCATCCCACCTCTGGAATCAGCCATTTTTCTGAGGAGCACTGGTCCCTTTTAGTGGAGATCATTATTACAGACTGGGATCTGGGCCCTGGATGTGTTCCTTGCTACCAGAGAATCTTTGCTTCTAGGCTTTGTCAGATAATAGAGTTGGGTAATTTAAAAAATATTTAAGTGTGTATGTGTATATTTATATATATATATTTATATTTGTATTATGTCTATCTGTATATGCATGTATTATACACATACACAGATACACTTACATTCATATTCATCCTGGTATATTTAGGTATCAATATATATTAAAACTTAATGAGCTCACTGGGGCGCCTGGATGGCTCAGTCGGTTAGGCATCTGCCTTTGACTCAGGTCATGATCCCAGGTCCTGGGACAGAGCCCAGTGTGGGGGCTCCCTGCTCAGTGTGGAGTCTGCTTCTCCCTCTCCCTTTGCCCCTCCCCCACTCATGCCCGCTCTCTCTCTCTCAAGTAAATAATAAAATCTTAAAAAAACAAAATAAAACACAAACAATGAGTTCACACTCCTACCTCCTGAAATTTCAGTCCAATGCCTCCCAATTCCTGTACAACATCCTATTTCTTCCTCTTTCCATATTTCATATGAAACCTGGCTCCTATTTTCCACAATATTATTCCACTTATTTCCTCAATCCTAGGATGTTCAGAGTGTTTCAGATTGCTAAACTCTGCAAAAAAAAATTTATTATTTGTTTAGATTTTTGTTGTTGTTTTTAACCTGAGCATATAGTCTGAATACTCTGATCCAAAGTTTCTTGATTAGTTCTTTTTTCCCCCTTCTGTTTTATTCACTTAAAATAAAAGTATAATTTATTTTCTTTTGTTTATAGTCAATTTGGGTTTTCCTGTCCTTGTGGATTTTCTTTCTTCTCTTTTCTCGAGTATATGAAACACTGACAAGTTTCTAAAAATCAAACCTGTACGAAAAAGGTGTATTTAGAGAAATGTGATTTCTTTTCCCACATTCTCTCTGTCCTTTCTACCCAGTTCTCTTCATTGTTCTGTAGGTAACCCATTTCATTAGCCTTGGATTTTTCCTTTTGCTCAAATAAATACATAAATATATATTTTCTTATTTCCCCTTTCTTACCAAAAATGTGTATTACTATAGATACTCTTGTACTTTACTAATCATAGAATTTTAAAAGCTGAATCAAACCTTGTTGTATAGCCAAGATTATTCTTTCCTCAATTTTTTTCCTTTTAGACACTGGATCAGCAACAGCTCTTCACAGAGGAAGAACTGAAAGAATATGAAAATCTTATCTCCTTACAAGAAAGTGAACTTAAGAAAAAGGCAGATGAACTTCAGAAACAAAAGGAAGAGCTACAGCGTCAGCATGACCAACTTGAGGCTCAGAAGCTGGAATACCATCAGGTGGTATTTATAAAATGATTGCAGCATTAAAAAGAATTTTAGGTGTTTTGGTAAAAGCGTGTGTTTTTTGTAATATAATATTTCAATGTCCGATTAGCTATAGTATTTTAAATTTTAGTATTTTAAAAACTGCTTTGTTGAATATTAATCTAAAGTTTGAAGTTTGAATATCTCATTTTGGAAAACAATTTTCAATTAGTTTGTTGTGGTTTGTCAAAGGTCATGAGAAAATAAAAGAATACTTACTTTTAAGACATTCTTTTTCCATGCACTAGGTTGTACAGCAGATGGAACAAAAAAAATTACAACAAGAATTTCCTCCATCAGGGCCTGGTGGAGAATTGAAGTTCCAGCCACGTATGTAACTTTATTTTTATTGTTTAAGGAAATAAAAAAATTGAATAAATTGAAATCTACGTTTATTACAAATGTAATTTCAAATCATTAATATCTATGGTATTTAATATATATTTGTGGAACTAGTGCAACTCATACTACAGAAAAATGTAGTACAGAAAAACGTACAGAAAGAAGCCTTCTAAAATGTCTATGCATTAGCACATTTCAAAAGCTATATAATTTGATAGCTCTATTTATGGTGAAATGATTTATTTCAAATTATTCACAATTCTTTCTAATCAGTTATTGATATTGTCAGAGAACATGGTTTCTTAATTGTAATCTATGATTAGCTAAGCGTATTTTAAAAATGCTTTATATTTATATTTACATATATATCTACTAATTTTAGCATATATATTATATATATTATATATATATGATATATATAAGGAGATTCTGAATAAAGGGAGATACCTTTAAAATGAGAGCATTTTTTTTTTCAAACAGACATTTAAAGTCCGAAGTCCACCAGAACTTGGAAGAAAACTGTTAAATCAACATCTGTGTCATCTTTTTACCACCCTTCCTTTTTTTCTGCTCAATAAATATTTTAAAGCATATATGGAATAAAGGAAGATACTTTTTAAATGAGAACACATCTTTTCAGGACACAGATATTTAAGGATTGAAGTCCACCACAACCAGGAAGACTACAAACTCAGTATCTGCTCTCACTTTCATACCTCTCTTCTTTTTAATTTGTTCTCCTTTAATGATTTAATTAAGTGGCCATAAATTATGCCATAATTTAATGAAACTATCAGTAACTGTTTAAGTGAAAAAGTTCTGTATTGCTTTTAAAGTAAATTTATATTGTTGTCACTCATAAAGATAGTCTTTTATAGGTGCTTATCAGCCCCTCTCTCGATAAAAGTCTCTTTGATGTTAATAATTCTTCTTCTGAGAAGATCGCACTGTCCCCCAGTGTTTCCTGGTAACTTCTTCCTACTTCCAGAAACCTTACCTGCTAGAAATTCTTCTACTGAATAGCTTTTGCTACCACTTCAGATCATTTTTTGGTTCATATTTTTGCTTTCTACTCTATTACTTAAGATCAGGTTCTGCTACAAAAACCCAGAAAAACCGGGGCGCCTGGGTGGCTCAGTCGTTAAGCGTCTGCCTTCGGCTCAGGTCATGATCCCAGGGTCCTGGGATCGAGCCCCGCATCGGGCTCTCTGCTCAGCGGGAAGCCTGCTTCTCCCTCTCCCACTCCCCCTGCTTGTGTTCCCTCTCGCTGTCTCTCTGTCAAATAAATAAATAAAATATTTAAAAAAAAAAAAAAACAAAAACCAGAAAAACCAAAGATAACAGTGTTTTAAACTAAATAGGAATTCTTCCCTCTTCCATAAAGGAAATCTGTAGGTAGGTGGTGTCCAGGTTCCTACCTCTCTGTTCTGCTATCCTCAGTGCATGGTTTTTATCCTCAAGTTACCTCATTCTCACTGTCCAAGATTGCTTTTGGAGGCAGTGGGCAAGAGGAGGAAAAGGAACTTCCCCCCCCAGTTGCATCAGCTTACTGGATTCAGTGTTCCTGGAGAACCACACAACATTTTAACTTACATCTCATTGGTCATGTAGCTGCTAGGGAAGCTGAGAAATCCATGTGGCATTGGGACCAGCTAAAAGTTAGGATCTTTAACTAAAGATGAAGGAGGTCATGTTTGGTAGGCAACTTTCAGTTTTCACCCAGACAGCTTTATTGGCTACCTATATATCTGTGTACACTCTTCTGAAACATAGAAAATACTCATTTGCCCTGCCCCAAAAGGAAATACCCCACATCCAATCCATTATTGCATATAGCTCAAAGACCATGATACCCTTGTATAGTCCTCTCTGTAAGGTTAGGATGTGGCACCTAATGTTCTGGCCATCTACAAACTAAAAAACAAGGTGTCTGCCTTATGAGTACCAAATGCATAATGGTGGGATAGGTACAGGATAACTGCAATAAAATCAACCTTTCAGAAGAGGGGAAAATAGCAGCCACTGATCCATAACACTTAAAAGGTACTGCTTGGCAAAAATAGCAAGGTCTCTCTGCCCTGTCTGTAAATATATTCCTTGGTTTTCATATCAGGCAACCCCTGATTCACTTTTGTGGGAGGAACTCACTTGTCGAATGTCCTCAGGGGCCCTTGGCGCTGCCTTCTAGGAAGTTTTTATTGTCCATTAATTTTCAAGGACACATTGTGTGGGCATTGGAAAGTGTGCTGGTCTTGGTGGCTGGACAGCTTTAGTACTTTACTTCCTGTTATGGTGGGTTTAGGGGCTTGGGAATTGTTTTAGATAGTTAACAGGCTGTTGCAGGCCAGGTTTAGGATTTGTTTTTGTTTTGTTTTGTTTTTTGGCAAAAAAGTTCCCTAAAAACTTAGTATGTTTCTGGTCTGTCTTTTTCAATTATTACCATGAGTAACCACAAAGATCTTGTCAAGACACAGTTTTTAACAAAGAACATCATCTTTTACTTGCTGGCTTCTGTGCTCTCTCTCTCCCCTTGGGTCTTAAATGAATGGTACCTACTTGGGACCATTTTAAATTGTAGGCTTGGGTGGGATGGCAACAATCCCAGTCTGATCTCTTTCCTTGGGATGGCTCCCATTACTTGGCAGAAAATTCTTAAGAAAGGTTGAGGCAGAAAAAGGAAAGGCAGAAAAAGGTTGAGGAAGCTTTAGCAACTTCCTCAGAAGCTTTACTTATAACTGTTTCAGTTTGGAGTAGCTGACTTTTCCAATTTCTCAGGGCTCTAGATTTGGGACTTTGTCGATTTATTTTGTAGAGAGCCATTCCCTCAGCAAAGCTATATTCCTTTCCATCTGTGCAGTCTTGTTACCCTTAGCCTGAGTCCCATCTCTCCTGTATGACTTTGCCGAAAGAGGCTAGAAGCAGCCCACATGCTAACATTCTGAAGTTCTACCACTACTTCCTCTAATACCTTAACCTTAGTGGCTTGAGGTCTCACTGCCCAAAGCCCTACCTCCTCAACTAAGCTAACTCCATATTTAAGATCCTTTTACTAGCTGTACCTTACTTCTAGCTACCAAATTCTGTCTAGGTCAGGATTCCTGGTTGTAGATAATAGGATCTTCTTTAGCTGTTGAACAGAAGGGGCTTGATTAAGGGGTGCTTGATTAAGGGTAACTCACAGAATCTTTGGGAAGGCAGATGAAACAGAATTTAGGCTGAGCTTCATAGGAACTACATCACAAGAGTGGGCTGTCAAAGAAGCTGCTGCTTTTGGAACAATCGAGAAGCTGCCTGCCAGATCAAGATGCCTCCTGCTGGATTAAGGAAGCTGAGAACAGTTGCCAGCTCCAGAACTGTACCACCTCTGCCGTGCTTTGTGTTGGCAGAAGTGGACACCTCGTGTGCTGCCTCTCTCCCCGTGTGACTTGGTTCTGAGCAAAAGTCTCAAGTGAGTGCATCTGATTGACTGGACTAATCATATCTGGAAACCTAGCTGCAAGGGAGGTTGGGAAATCCTAGTGTTTAACTTTACTACCTCTGTAGTACAGGAAGGCATGTTTAAAGCTGTTGAATGAGCCAATCTGTCGTAACATTTCATAACTTTACATTGTGTCTCTTCACATTAATAATTTTTAAAACTCTTAGTCCTCATTTTATAAAATTTTTAAATGATCAGTGCATGCTCCAAAGATACCTCAGATTTTTTTTTTCTTAAATCATGGATCCCAAAATTAAATGTAGCAATCTGGGAAAGTTCTGCTTACATACAGCTGTAAAAATAAAAAACACAAAAACAAACAAAGAAACCACAAAAAAAATCACTTACTAGAGTAATGCTGTGTTTCCTTAGAGATGGAGAAGGATTCTTATCTCTATTGTTTAAATTGTAGGAAACATTAAAAAATTATCTGGCATATCCTTTTGTTGATGACTCTGTGACAAGAAACTGTGATAAGACAGGGATTCACCCAGGGTAAACTTTTTTAGATGGTGGACTGGGGTTCAATCAGAAAGGAATTGGAGGGGTGCCTGGGTGGCTCAGTCATTAAGCGGCTGCCTTCGGCTCAGGTCATGATCCCAGGGTCCTGGGATCGAGCCCCACATCGGGCTCCCTGCTCCGTGGGAAGCCTGCTTCCCCCTCTCCCTCTGCCTGTTGCTTCCCCTGCTTGTACGCTCTCTCTCTGTCAAAAATAAATAAAATCTTTAAAAAAAAAAAAGGAATTGGAGACAACAATATTGTACTATGATTATGTAATATGATACATATGGATACAGGGTAATCATGAGAATACATAAATGTATCAAAGTAACATGTTGTACATCTTACATTTACATGATGTTATATGTCAAATATATTCAGTTAAAAATATAATTGGAGGAGAATTTATTTTTTTAATTTTTTTTTTTAAAGATTTTATTTATTTATTTGAGACAGAGAGAATG